TGTTTCTGTTTCTAAAAAGTATAATTTGGAATTAGGTCTTATATGTGTATTCTCTGTTCCCCTTTTCAATAACCGATTTTTTTTAAAGTAGGAGACTTACAAATTCTATGACCTTTACTGAAATATATTGTTTCTATCCCCCTGAATAAAATGTATTTCAATCATGGAAATATTAACTACCCCATGCCGAAATATTAGCTGAGAAGGCATTCCCCTCAAGGGGAATCCTTACGCTTCAATTTCCTGTGTCCAGATAATTGTTTGGTGATTTTTGTATCATTATTGACATACTTTGATTAAGTATGTCTGAGTTTATATGACTTTATACCTTATAGCCATCTGATTTAAGTCATTAAGTTGATCTCTTTTGTTGGTGCAGGAAAAGCTTATCAATAAAGGGAGCATGTCATTGTGTTTTAAAATCTTTTCCTGTCTCAAGGTTTTACCTCTTCTCATCTTAGAGAAATTTTGTATTATTAATGCTTGGAACGTGTATTAAAGGTTTGCCTTTTTCTCTTGTAGGATGAAGTGGCACACACTCTAACAGAAAGCAGAGTATTAAAGAACACTAGACATCCCTTTTTAACAGTAAGTGACTAGAGGACAGATGTTATAACATTTAAAATGTAAGGGAGTTTGATTACAGAAACCAAGCTACGAAAAAGAACATTTTACATAACATTCATTTAGATATGCCATTTTCTGTGCAGAAAGATTATAAATCAAATTTCTTTGAAGTGATCGGAATGCATGGATTAACTTTACAATATGCACACATTTGTAATCCCTCCCATTATGCACCTATTACTTTTTTGAAATTTCACTGCCTTAAAAAAAAAAGTCTGTAGAGCAAATAAATCACCTATGGCATTTTAAGGAGGGCGGTGTGAAAAACGGTGGACTTCAGAAAGGTTCTGCTAAAAAGGTTTGTAGTAAATGTGAGGATTTTTTGTTGCTTTTGTTTATTGGCTTCTAATAAATATACAAATGATCAGGCATCATTGTCCTCAAATATGAAAGACAGAAATCTTTACTGAACTTCTATACATATTGAGACTTCTTTTAGTTATAGAGTACTTTAAGAACTAACAGGAATACGGAATACATTAAATTAAAGATAGGATATGTTTTCTTCTCTAGACAAATATATACTTACGTAGTTGTTATGAAACAAACTGATTTTTTTAGTCCTGTTTCTAGGACTAAAGTCCTGTAAGCAAGGCATAATTTGCAGTTTCTGTATATTTTTGATTCTAGTGAAATAATTAATATTAAAAAAAATAACAGCTAAACTTTCAAAAGGGGGCAGGCTTTTAAAGATCTGAGATTACCTAAATCGGAATTTTCAGAGGTATCATCAGCCACCTAGACTTACATTGTTACACTGCTGTGTGTTTCTTGTCCAGTGTATCAAGATAACTCTAAAGTTCTGATATTTTTGTGACCTATAAAATTACATGAATCAACTCTGTTCGATTGGGTCATGTTATACACCCAATATGCAATAAGTTATGTTTGAACTACATTAGGTCCCCAAATATAACTATTACAACTGTATTCCTAAGACTCCCACTAGAGTAATTTGTAGACCTTACTTTGAGGTCACATGGATAAGAACTTTGGAGACCAATACAGTATGAAATGGGTGGCAGAATAGATTGGGAAGTGCCCATCACAATTACTAAGTTTATTTTACTTAAAATTTTAATTTTCCCCTAACAATACCCATTGCTGATCTAAACATAATTGGTTTTATGTCTTATAAATTCTTGCTTGAGTCAGCACTCGTAAGGAGTGAATAGACTCTTAAGCAACAATAACAATTCATTTCATCAATCATGCTTACTATTTCTAAGTGTTCTATTTTGGTACCATTATAAGAATGTAGGATTATAACATTTTTTCTTTTTCATTTCAAGTCCTTGAAATATTCCTTCCAGACAAAAGACCGTTTGTGTTTTGTGATGGAATATGTTAATGGGGGAGAGGTGAGTCACCAAGTAAATCCGACACTTGCATTTGCATGGTAATATTGTCATTGGTTGTAAAAAAGTTGTTTAAAATATAAGTTACAATATCACGATTCTCTACTTCTTGATATAGATTTGTATAGCTCTTTCTACTATTGAGTAGATGGGAGCTGCATAATTCCTAATGAAATATAATGATTGTTTCTTAATAACTTTTAAATATTGGAAAGTGTAATCACATTCTTCTTTTCTATATTTTTCAACTGTAAAAAATTTTACCAACAGTAAAATCATGAAATCCTGTTACTTAATTTTGAGAATCTTCATATAGGATGTATGATGCTTTACGAAGTTCTTCCTCATGTTTTTGTGAAGCTTGTAAAAAATTATTTTAACTCATTTTAAACTCAGTTGAACAATAATAGTCCATAGGCACATTGTGGCTGCTAGTAGTTAGAGTAACCTTGGCTATAGTCAAGAGATTTTGAAGAGAAATTCAATGATTTTAGTAACACATATCACATATTCCTCTGTTCCTTATCCTTTCGCTTCCCTATTTTGGTTAAAATCAATGTGAGGGGGAAATGTAATTTACTGGAATAGTTAACTGGAAATATTTTACATCGTGGGCTTTCTGAAATAAATGTAATTATTAAATAGGGGCTTGTATCTCACAGACTTTAAAGGTCTTATTTTCCAAAACAAATTAAATATCCTCTATAAAATATTTGCTCCTCTAGAACGACCTGACATGCAGAAATTAGTTCATTGTGAAAACTTATTCATTTAGTAAGCACATTTGGAGTGCCTAGGCAGTGTGGATTTAGCAAAATGTATTAAGACAACATCCTTTCTATGAAGGAGTTTATAACTTACAAGTGTATTACAAATTAGAATATATGGTGAAAGACCCAAGTGCTGATAAATTCATAAAAGAATGATCTGGCATTTAGGTCTTTAATGAAATCTCAGCAGGAGCTGACTTGAGAAGATATTTCAGGCAGAGAGGATGAGGCGACCAGAATCACTGGTGGGTGAGCCGAGGGCAAGGACCTGAGCAGTGAGATAATAATAGCCCAGGCTTTCAGGACTGGGCCCTGGCAGGCAGATGTTCTCTGTGAAAACACATAGAAGATGGGTGTCGTGGAACTGGACATGGTTGGTATGCTTTGACAACCGGTGAATTGGCTGTGGGTAGAAAGAAGTTATCAAAAGTGATTTTTGGCTGGAATCTGGGAGAAATAATAGATATAGTGAACTTCTGAAGAATGTGTTGAGGGTAAGATTGTAAACTTGGTTTTGAAAAGGTTCCCTGAGGTTCCAAGGAAATACGTATGTGGAAATATCACAGAGACTAAATACAGGGTCAGAACTGTGGATACAGATTTGGAGCAATTCCCAGAAAGGTTATAATATAAGTTATGGAGGTGGATATTTTCTGTTTCACGGGAAATTAAATTGATGAAACTTCTATGTTAATATCTATCAAAATTAAAAATGCACATATTCTTGGACCCAGCAATTTCATTTCCAAGGTATACTCACAAATATGCTGCAGAATGATGTATGGGTAAATGTATTCATGGCAGCACTGTGGTACCTTAAGTGAACATGCAGAAAGGAGACTGCTTCAATAAATTGTGTCATATGTATGCAGTGGAATACTTTATATCCATTCAAAAGAGTAAGGCAGCGCAATGTGGGCTGATACCGAACGATTATGAAGCAGAAAAAGCAGTGCGCAGACAGAGTATAAAGCATGCTGCCAGTGTGCTGAAAGAAAGTAAGACCATATATATGTTTGTACGTACATTGATTATCTCTGCAGTGACACACTGGCCGTTAGTGCCTACCCCTGGGGATATGAACTGAGTGGCTGGGGACGAGGTGGAGAAGGACTTGTTTTTCACTTACGTATTCTAGTGCAGCTTTTATATTTTGTACCACAGATATTTATTACTATGTAAAAAGTTGGAGGAAGGAAGATAGGCAGGCAGATGGATGGATGGATGGATGGATGGATGGATGGATGGATGGATGGATGGATGGATGGATGGATGGACGGACGGACGGATGGACAGGTGGATGACCCGGGGAGAGAATCAAATAGGGAAAATGATAAACTGCAGATTAAACCTTAGAGAAAAACTCTTAAATTGGAAAAATACTCTTACACAGTATCATGTATTTACATCGATTATAATAATTATCACAGTGTTTTATAATTACCTGTTTACTTGTCTGTTTTTCCCACTGGACTCTGAGTTCCCTGAGCGGCTTGTTCACTTGTATAACCCCAGCACCTTACACACTACTGGGCACATAGTAGGAACTTGACAGATATTTACTGGATGATTTGACTGAATTAATAAGTGAATGGATGAACAAATTCCCTCAGGGAATGGGGATAGAAGAAGCTGGCAGAAGTGGTCAGTGGGAACAGCTGAGGAGTAGGAGGAAAAAATAGGAAGTCACGTAGTACATAGTTTATTTTAGAAAAAAAAGAGTTGAAGATTTGTTTTCAGGAGGGAGTATCTTTGAGTGTATTTATAAAATACATATTTATTGAGTCTTTGTGCAAGGCACTCTAGTAGGTATTGTGGGGCCTACAAATCTGAGTTCAACGTAGGTCTTACCCTCAAAGAGTTACAGTCTAGTGTGGAAGGTAAAGTACAAAGTTTACATTAAGTGTAAAGTGATAATTATCACTTGTTATCAGAAGTACAGATTAAGGGCCATGGGAATTCACAGGAGAAAAAGAAGGATTTTGTGTGGTGGGATGAAGGGGAAATGTCTAGAAGCTTCCTAGAAGAAGCTAGCTAGCTGGCACCTGTACTTTTATTCTAAACCTAGAATACTTATGAGATTAATTAATTGATGATTGTTGAAAAAGTTGACACACAAAAGCAGCTTTTAGGACTAGCCAGATGGTTTTCTTTAGCTTTGAAACTCCTGCATTGTTTCTCTTGTTTGGCGTTTCTTCTCTTTTTTCAGAATTCTGTTTGGGAATGTGTTCNAGCCACCAGTATATAAAGGTACTTATCTCACTACATTTTCACTGACAATGCTGTTTTTCAATGTGTTAAATTTATGTTTTTATCTCTACTTCATTGATTATTTTAAGGTGGCATGTTTTTATATGCTGTAATTTATATTCCTTTTATGTTGATTGTGTCTTTCCCCTTTTTTCCTTTGTGTTTTAGTCTTTTTATTTTTATATGATTTGTTTATGTATTAATCATATGGACTTCATGATGTTTATAATTATTCAATTTTATTTATATTTTTCTACTCCATATAGTTAATTCTATCAGTTTTTCCTTTTATGATTTGTTCCATATCTTTATGCTTGGAAAAATCCTTTATCCTGAGATCAGATATCTATTGATTCATATTTTCTAATTTTTAAAAAACTAGTGTCATGTTTTATATTTAACTATTAATCACATCTGATATTTATTTTGTTATGATGTGAGATGAAAAGAATTTTACTTTTCTCCAAAGTTACGCATTTATTGTGGCATCATGCATTAAATAGTCATTTTTTTTCTCATATACTTTGTCACATATTGTCATCATCAACTTTATCATATATTAAATTCTTATAACCTATTTATGGCTGCCTCATTTCATTGATCTTTTAATTTGTGTGCCTATTCCATATGAATTGTAGCTTTATAATATTTCTCAATTTCTTCAAGCAAAAGTTCTCCTGAAAGCATTTTTTATTATGTTGCAGCAGAAATCTTCTGTTTCAGTAACATGTTGGCTCATCTCATTCACTTTTTTCTGAAGGAGTCACATACCTTTTCAATTTTTTTATTCTCTTCTGAGCTCATGAAAGAATGACATCTCTTCCCTGAAAGGTAACAAATGACCTAATTCCTATGCCCGGTAAACGTTACTTCCTTCATGAAACTTGCTTTTCCTTCGTTCTTTAGATATATTTTTCTTTCCCGTTGTACTCCTCTTGGAACTCCATCACAGTATTCTGTTCTGCTGCTTTTTCCTGTCCTTATGTGTAGTGATACCCTAAGATGCTGAGCTGAATTCTGTTTTCAGTTTTCACTGAATTCCTGGGCTATGCCATGCTTCCTTGGTTTTAACAATATCCTTTATCCTTTATGTAAATGACTCCTGTATCTGCCTCTGTACCCTTGGATCCCATAATTTCAAAGCTGTGGTATCAAATGCTTATTCAGATGTCAACAGGTCAGAATAAAACCCATTGCTCCCCTGTCCCTATCCTCAGTCTTTCCCTCTGCACCACCTGCTGCAGTATCTCCTCAGCCATCCACAGGGAAAGCCCTGCATTGCTGTTCTCTCCTTGACCCAAACAGTGCGAGCTAGGGGACTTGGAAGTGCCAGTTACTGTCTCTGTAGTTGAGGTCCCAGAAGATCTTATTTACCTCATAAATAACTTCTGGTA